TATATATAGTCTTCCAGCCTGGCTACATTCTGTCAAACCATTGGCCAAAACAGCTTTTTTATTCATTAACCAATAAAAGCATCACATACACAGAATGACTTCCCACAGCACATCACAGTAGCCTAGTCAATGGGTTCTATGTAGATCTTGGAGAGTTCCAACTCCACATTAATTTCTATTTAAAAAAAAAAAAACGGTCTCTGGGGTGTGGTTGAAACTATTTAGCTGCTATATTGATTCAAAGTGTCAGTATGCCTGAAAACAAAGCCTTGAATCCAAGTGCAAAGGACAGATGGTCAACATACTACCTGTAGCTCTTGTCTGAGAGAAACACAGGTAGCGCCTGAGGGAGCGTTAAAGCTGCCCAGGTTGAAACCTCCCTTTGAGTGCTCCGTGCCGCAACTCTGTTCTGCTGCCCCTTTAGGCAGATGTTGTGTCCTGCAATCCTTCCCCATTGTGGGCTGCAGGGGATCTTCTGGTTGACATCAATTTCAGGAAGTTAGTCCTGTGGAAACCTGAGGTGGCAGGGAAAGCCCAGAACATCCTAATGAGAGCCGCAGACTTTGTAATAGTGCACGTCCTGAATCCAGCGGGGATCCTTCCAGCACTGGCCAAGAGTTCTTTGCTCCTAAGTTCTCCGTCTGTAAAAGGGGAAGATTGATATCTCCTCACAGCGGTCACATGGCTAAAGTGTGACATTACGTGGGAAGCACCGAGCATCACACACGGTTGTGAGATGATTAGGGTCTTTCCTTCTGGTGGGGCAAACACACTCAGTTTTTACCTGTGGGTTAGTTAATCAGCACCGTAGTCGAGACGGGGGGGGGGGGGGGGGGGGAACTGCGGTCTGCTCTTGGGAGCAGGAATTTATGTCAGTGTCGTTTCTTTTTTGTCGTCTCTTTTTCTTTTTGGCTTCAGTTCTTTTTGGCTTCAGTTCTTTTTTCTTTTTGGCTTCAGTTCTTTGTGTCCTCGGTCTTCAAGTGGGAACGGCATTTTAAGAAAGCAGGCATTACTGCACACAGACCACGGAGCTCTGAAACTAATGCTGTCTCCCGTCGCTCTCCTTGCACAGGCCAGTGACCCCAGTACCTTTGAGCTGATCCAGAAAATTCACACCCTGCAGAAGCGACTCATCAGCAAGACAGAAGAGGTGGTGGAGAAGGAGCTGCTCCTTCAGGTATGTCTCCCTGCGTGTGCTCCCCAAACAAACATGGCCATCTCCAGGAGCCTCAGAACTGGTGGCTTGGCAGTGGTGCATGCCTCGTCCTAAACTGTAGATGGCAACAGCGGCTCACACAAGAGCAGACAGCCCGATTAATTGTTCTTTTATGCTGCGATCACTGATATTTCAAGAATCCCAGAAAATGAAGTTCAAGGCTAGACTTAGGCAATGTGAACATTTTCTCACTTCCCCGCAGTTCTATTATTTGTCAAATTATTTTAACCACCTTTCTTCCTATCTTCATACAGTGTGAAATGCTGTGATTCCAACTTTGAAAACGGTTTTCACATAGAGCACAAATGATCGTCCCCAGGAGGGTCTGTGTGAGTGAAGCGGAACGATGTGTTTGAGGATGTGGGGTGTGCATGTGTGTGTGTGCACGGGCAAGGTGTGTACACACTGGTGCACATTCACATGAAGGCTAGAGGAGGATGCTGCCATCTTCCTTATAGCCACCCACCATATTCTCTAGAAACAGATTTTCTCAGTAAGCCTGAATCTTGACTAGGCTGGCCGGTGAACAAGCTCCCAGGATCCACTTGTCTCAAGCCTCCTGATGCTGGGGTTACGGGAATGTCTGACATGCCTGGATTTTACATATAATAGAGGAGTCAAACTCAAGTCCTCAGACTTGGATAGTGAGAGCTCCTGCCCCCGGAGCTATCTCCCCATCCCAGCTTTGAGAACTTTAGGAGGTAAATCCTGGCAGTTTATCAGTCATGGAGGCCATCGCCACCAGCTGCTGCTCCTCCTCACTCCCAGTGCTTCCTCCTCCTCCCTCCCCCTTCCCTGCCTCTCCTTCATCTTTACCAGGCCATCCCTTACCCTGTGCTGGCCATTATGTGGTGTGGAGGCTTTAGCTATCCTGTCTCATTTCCTCTGAGCAGCTCGTGTGTGACCCAGATCACCTTCAGGTGGTGGTCAGAAAGCTGGGGCCTGGAAATGTAAGGATGAGGTAAGAAAGGCAGGTCTGGCACCAGGTGGTCGGGACTGGCATTCTGTGTCTATTGACTCGCGGCTATGTGATTGTTATTTCTCTGCACCTGAGGTTCCCAGGCTCTATTAAGGACAATAGAACCCATTAAGATGAGCAGCGTAGGCGCTGAAAGACCTTAGCCACTCTCAGTTCGTATTAAATATTGATTCCAATGTGACCTTAACTGTTGGGTGACCATCTGTAGTTGTAGGAACTTCTACGCATGTGCGAGAGGAGGCTTTTGCCCCTCTTCTACTTTGTATTTGACCTTAGATGTGTTTTCCCCTAAAGTTGGCTGCACAGTACAGCACACAGCAATTGGGACACATCCCTGCATGGAGTGAGCATGACATTTTCCTCCTGTCTTGGAGCACAGTGATGGAGGAGGCAGGTTCTGCAGTGGGCAAGCACTCTCTTCAGAGGTTGATGGGTTAGTGACTTAGGGGGACTCAGAGAGGTTTTTCAAACATTCTTTCCCTTTATGTAAAGCAGGGATTGTTAGTGCCAGCTCTCACTGAAAGAACATTCCTAACTTAGAGGTCTTGCAGGGATAGCCAATCAGAGCATGGGCATTGGGGACTCACCAGAGTGTGCACTGTGCCATTAAAAACGCGATTACAATGCTCCACACCAAGGCCAGACCGCTGGAGAACAAAGGCTTGAGACTCCAGCCAGCCAGTTGCCCCAGAACCCCCACCATCCTTGACTTCACTCTCTCACCTCTTCTGTTACTATTGCCACTTTGTAAAATTTAAAGAGAATCAATTTTGTGTTGTGTCAAAACTCAGTTTTTTAAACATGTTGTTTTGTATTTTATGGAGAGTCTGTTCTGTTCCATATTGGGGAACATAATTAGGAAAGCGTGTTTGTCCCTGGGTGAATGACTGTTTGCCACATTAGTGCAGGTGCCTGTGGGGACCAGGAGCCTCTGACGCCCTGAAACTGGAGTTGCAGGCAGGCAGAAGCCTCCTGATGGGGGTGCTAGCAGCCAGACCTTGGTCTTCTGCAAGTGTTGCTAACCACTGAGCCATCTCTCCAGCCCCTGGCGCTATAGCTATGTTATTTATTTCCTCTTATATACTTGGGTTTTCTCTGTTCTTCTACTTTGTCAAAGTAGAGGCACAGTCGTGAATCTCTCCTCTCCTTTCCCCTCCCCTCGTCTCGTCTCTCCTACCATCTCATTTTATCTTTTCTCTGTTTTTGGCATTGAGGATTGAACCATGCATGTTTGAGACAGGAGTTCTGTCCCTGAGCTATGCCCACAGCCCTTTTATTTTCTCCTAGATGCATCCCAGTCCATAAAGTATCTTTTAAGTGACACCTGAGTCCCTTCCCATAGGTTTTGATATAGATGGTATTTTTATTTAGTTGTAAATCTTTTCTCCTTTGAGAATTGCTTCTCCATTGAGAATAAGTCTGAAGGATCCCCGTTCTTTCTCCCGTGAGAATGAAGTGTGCACTTTAAGGTCTTCAGATCCATGCGTGTTTAGGCTAACTTTCCTTCTGGTCTTCCACTGAGGACTGTAGTAGGTGTGATCTTTGGAATCTAATACTGCCTCTGAGCATAAGTGATTACTTAGAAGTAAATGATCCTGGGGTTTGAAAAAGATGCATGTCTTCCACACATTGTGAACTCACAGAGATCCACCTGCCTCTGCCTCTCCAGGGTTGGGATTAAAGGCGTGTGCTTTTAAGGTCATGTGCAGTTATTGTCCCTCAGGAAATGTCTACCTTGTGTTTTGAGAGAAGGTCTAGACTTATGGCATAGGCCAAGATGGCTGACTCGAGCACTCCAAGGTCCTGTCTCTGCCTTCCTGGTGCTGGCATTATATTCATGTGCCACAGCACTTGACTCTTTCATGGAAATCCTGGGTCTTAGACTCATGTCTGTTCAGCAGATACTTTATCAACAGAACTACCCCCCAGCCCACCATTGTGCATTTTGACACTTTTGTGCTAGCCTATAGGCTCCACAGAGGCAATTGTTTTTCTTCCAAATCTGATTTCTGAGTCTTCCTATTGATTATCACAGCCCTAGCATCACCCCTACTAATATCTGTGCAGCGACTGATTAATCCTGGAAGAACGGTGGTCCTCTGAGAAGTCGTACGTCTTACAGACACGGAGTTCTAATTTTGGGTCAACAAATTAGGGAATTATTCTTCCTGTTGTCTTGGTACTTTGCTATTAACTTTGCAGGGGTTTGGGGCTTACTCTTGGTTTATGGATCTGTCTGTGTTTTCTTTGTATACAGAGGCAGGCTGACTCCCACGGGTGTGCTCCAAGTCTGCCCCTTGCTGTGAGTCTAGCAGACAATGGTCCCTGAGCTTCACATTGCTGCTGTGGTGGGAAGATAGAGCAGGCTGCGTTCTTGCCAGGATTGGAAACTTAGGAGTGGATGGGGGGATTAGCTTGCTGTTGTCTACCAGGGTTCTCTCTGCTTTAGGAAAGCCTGGGCAATCAAAACATACCTGCATACGCCATTGCTATTACTCTGCTCAGCCCCCGTGCCTTCCCAGTCCACAAGATTGATGACAGTTTTCTTTAAAGACATGTGTGGGATCAGGCTAGCCTGTGTGTGGTGATGTCTGTCATTACATCATCATCTTTGTCATCATCATCATCGTCATCATCATGTATCCCCAATAAATAATGAGCGTAAGGCAAGGTGTTGTTAGTACAGGAAGTTCAACCTCTTGTTGCAGGCACTTGCTAGCACAAGGCTCACTTAGAGCAGCGGGGATTTCCACCTCAAGTGCTTAAATAACTTTATCACTTTATTTTCATGGCCAGGCAAGAAATTAGAAGCAGTGAAGTGAGCTTTGCGTATTGGAACCAGAAATGTCTATTGTTGGTGCTCTTGGAGCTCAGAAGCGAAAAGAAACGCTGGGTACTGCAGCGCAGGGCACTGTGGGCCCCTCTCTAGGAAAGAGCTATCAGAGTCAAGGCAAACCCAGGCTTCTACGTCACTTCATTTCTCAAGGCCAGCTGGAAATGTGCTTGCTATGTTGACTATTACTAGCTAGCAAACCTTAAGAATACCAAATGGGCCTTTTAAAACTTAAGTCTTGAGCTGGAGAGATGGCTCAGTGGTTAAGAGCACTGGCTCCTCTTTCAGACAACCCAGGTTTGGTTCCCAGCACCCACATGGCAGCCAACAACCACCTGAAACTCCAATTCCAGGGGCTCTGATACCCTTTTCTGTCTTGTGTGCGCACTGCCTCTACATGGTATATTTGCATATGTGCAGGCAAAAAATTAGAACATACTCAAACAACTTAAACACAAACAAAACCCACATGCCCAGCACCCTTGGGTGGCAGATGGGTGGTTTGCAACCCCAGCTTCGGGGCCTGGAGAGGAAGGAGAAACGAAGAAAGGACGTCACGGGCCACTTTACTCGCTTTGATTTCCTAGATCTCATTCGCTGCTGTGGGTCCTCCACGGAAATGCAGAGCCCAAGACTGAAGGAGTGTGCTGGTGTGGGCACTTGGAGGTGAATCCAGTGGAGAGGCAGGGAGGTAAAGAATGCTTTCTTGTGCAGGGCAGACAGGTTCCATGAAAGAAGAGCTTCCTAAAGCTCTCCCTTCTCTTGTGGACAACGATTCTTGCTTTATTATTGTGAGCCATTCAAAAACATAAAGGTGTGTCCTGGAGCATCGGGAGAACCCTCTCATGCAAGGGCAGCAGAAGCACTCTGTGTCCGAGGGTTCCCTGCGGCCACTGCATTCCAGGACGAATGAAGCCAGTTGCATCTTCGTGACAGAAGCCCTCTCAGTTCTGTCATCGTAGTGCACTGGGACAACAGGGTGCTGTGGGACTTGGACAATACTTTGGAGTGGGTTTGGGTACCCCAAATCAGATGCTGGGGGAGGGGAGGGAGCTGAAGGGGCCCAACGACTTCTGAGATTCTACTAGGAATCAGAGAAACACCTGGAGAGCGGCCCCCTCCAGTGGGTTTTATATTTATTTATTTATT